GAGAAGAAGAGAGAGAGAGAGAGAGAGAGAGAGAGGAAACAATAGGGGACGATAGAGCGAAGTTAGACCGTGTCTGGGAAGAAAATTGAGCGGGAGCGAACAGTTATCGATTCCGTGACAGTGACACCGCCCCAATTCGGGGGCCAAGCCGGGCGTGGTGTAAGGCAGCTTATAACAACCCTCTTTTCCACGACACCGCCGATTCCGTACGGTTAACCACCGTTCCCTTGGGTCGAAAAAAAAAAAAAGAAGAAGAAGAAGAGGCAAAGAGCCGCCGCCTCTCCTTCCTTCCTTCCTTCCTTCCTTCCTTCCTTCTTCCCTTTCTTCCCTCGTCGCTTTTCCTCGCCGCCACGCTTTTCATCCTCGCCACACCGGTATCGGAGGCAGGCATTTATGCATAAGACGGTTTTTCAAAGCGCATTTTCGGAATTACCGGTACCCTCGAGTTGAAAACACGATGCATCCATGATTTTTATAAACGAATCATCCCCCCTTTCCCCTTTATTCTCTTTTCGAATCTTATTCACTCGTCGAATTTTATTCTCTCTTCTTTAATTGTCAAGTAAACAGGAAAGTAAAGTAAATTATTCTCGCAACGATTAATTTCTATTCGCGGCAAATCGCGGCTGATTATTCCCATCACGGGAATGGATGATAGAATTTAATTTAGGGGATCACCTAAGGGAGCTCGGCTAATGGCTGATGATCGATGGAGGGGAGAATCATCGTTCGAGATGACGTCCCTCCTTCGAGACGCTTGCACGACAATCTGTTTGATCGCGCCGTTTCTCAATTATACGTACGAATCTCTCTCTCTCTCTCTCTCTCTCTCTCGATTATGGATCTATCGTTGCGATCGAGCGAAAAGAGTGCACACGCGGTTCGTTTTCGTCAACGATGGAGAAAAACTTTTCCCGGCTCGAAACGAGCGGTGTTGGAGGGGGGGGGAGGGGGAAGTTAGTTGCCTGCTTGCTTCTCGGGACGAAAGTTGCCGACGAAAAGTTCACCAACCGCACACAACAAAAGTGGCTACCTACTATCGAGAGCGGTCACACGATGGAGGGGACTCGGATAATCCTCCGTTCTTCGAACAGATTCCTGGCTTTTTGCGCTACTCGACCAATTTTTCCTTTCTTCCTCCCACCGTCGATATCGAGCGGAGGTGTATTCTAAAATTTTTGGAACACGAACGAAAAAAAAAAGGAAAAAAGGAAAACAAGAACGGAGATTTCCGGATCGTTGGAAAAAAAAGTTTTTCTTTATTTCTCCGATGGAAATTATCGGGGATCGGGAACGGATCACGCCACGATAACAAAGGCAATACGATCGCGAAGTCACGCGTTTCGAATCTGCAAACAGGCCATATGCCGGGAGGAGCGCGCGTTACCGATCGCATTCTCTAATATTCGATTAGTCTCATTACGAGCAATGGACGACGTGACCGTGGTACTCATGCACGCGCCGCTTTTCGAAACGGAGCGGAATGCAAACAGTGGCCTGGGATCGATCACGATCGATCGCGAGAGTAAATTCGACGATGGTTATTAATAATCGGACCTCGAAATTTCCGATCGAGAGCGGTGGCAATGGAATGAAAGATGTGCTCTCCTCTCGATCGGGGAAATTTCGTTTCTTAGGGATGGAGCGAATCAAAGTCAGGTGGGTAACATCGCTGGTTTGTTCGATTGTTCGGTTCGAACAATGGCCGCCGACCGAGACGGAA